TGAAAAAGAGTCCAATTTTCGTCCAAAAGTCATACTTAATGTAGACTTAAACACTCAAAAATATGTATATAGGCACGGGAAAACCGAATCCGAGGTTTGTTTTGAGATACAATCAATTTTTGATACAGTTTCCTTGAAAAAATCACAAAAAACTTGAATTTTTGTATGGAAGCCATGCCTGTATGCTACCGTAATGACGTGAAACTTTGCACAGACTATTTTTTACACAGAATAAAGAGTCTTACAGGAGTAAGACGAACTTTTCCGCACGGTGGTAGATGCGTATTCTATTAAGCTAGTTCAAAATAATATTTGTTCGATTTTTCAAGCCTTTCAAGACATGGCTCCCATACAAAAATCCAAATTTTTTGTGACTTTAGTTATGAAAAGTGTTTCAAAAATAATTTTTATAGCAAGATTAACGTCAGACATATTTTTTATAGTGTTTTGTTAGAAAATAGAATACTTTCAAATGTCGTACAAATGGGTTCATCATGAAAGTGTGAGAAATCTTTTCTCGGGTACTTCTGCTATTAAATTAAAGAATATTTCGTTGCCAAAGTTGAAACATATTTTTTGGTCTCGAATTTTACGCCGCTTGAAAGGCTTGAAAAATCGAACAAATATTATTTTGAACTTTCTTAATAAAATACGCATCTACCACCGTGCGGAAAAGTTCGTCTTACTCCCGTAAGACTCTTTATTTTAATTTCGTGATAAATGAGATATTCTCATTAGCTGCATTTACTCAGTCAAGTATACAAATGTCGTTAATCAGGGCAAATATTTGCAAATGTGTACAAATATTAAAGAAACTTGCAAATATCTTTGGAAATACGCAAATTTTTTGCAAATACAGAATATTTGCAAATGTTGATTTGCCCCTAGGTTGGTTTGAGCCGTGGGATTTCGATAATGTTGTTTTAAAAAAGAATCTGACATATTTGGCGATACTGTTGTTCACCGGTGCCCACTAATTGATTATATGAACCGCCTAGAATAAATCAGCATTACTAGATAAATGTCTTCAAATGCGTTATAGAAAAAAGTACGTCAGCAATAGTGTCAAAAACTGTATGTGACGCGTTATATAAAAAAGTTCGCCAACAAAAGCGTGACATCGTCCATATATTTTATAACGCTTTTGCTGACTGACTTTTTTCAGTAACGCATTTGAAGACATTTATCTAGTAATGTTGATTTATTCTAAGGGATTCATATGGCCTATATATCTATTGAAAATATCGAGAGGAGAGTATGTTTTTATTCAGACATTACTCAGCCATAAGCGCTGAATAACATACTCTCTTCTCGATATATTCAATAGATATAGGTTTTGAAAATGGAAATAACGTGATCAGACCGCTAATTATTAATCTGCACAACATTTCAGGCAATTTTGAAATTTTCAAATATTCAATTGAACATGGAGCAAATATAAATGCTACAACTGACGAAAACTATACAACTTTATCTTTGGCTGCTTCTAGTGGTAATTTTCAATGGATTCATTCAGAAGAAAGGTTGTTTCATAAGAACTTCGTACATTTTACAGGTAGCACGGAGATTGTGAAATATCTTGTCGAACATGGAGCCGATGTGAATTCTAGAGATAACAATCATTCTACACCACTCCATGAGGCTGCTCAATATGGTAATTGTCTATATGTTTGAAAACTGAAATGATGCTTAATGTTTGCATAATATTTCAGGTACACTCGAAATGATTGAGTTTTTAATCACTCATGGTGCAAAGGTAAATGCCGAAGATAACGATAAATGTACGCCACTCCATAAGGCTGCTCGAAATGGTAATTATTGATTATATGGCCTGTCAGTGTGCGCACATAGTAGTGTGTACATACACACTCACATTCCAAGTGCGATGCACACAATGCTTGTGATTTTAATGTGCACGCACATTAGCAGAAAAGTTTGATATTTTAAAAGATGGTTTACAATTTTTGGACAACGGTCAAAAATGTCAAACTTGTGGCTAAGTGTGCGTGCACATTGAAAATTACAGCTTCGGATCGCTAACTATTTATTTTTACAAAATTTCAGGCAGATTTGAAATTTTCAAATATTTAATTGAACATGGAGCAAATATAAATGCTACAACTTACGAAAATGATACAACTTTATCTTTCGCTGATTCTAGTGGTTATTTTCAATGGCTTCATTCAGAAGAAAGGTTGTTTCATAAGAACTTCGTACATTTTATAGGTAACATGGGGATTGCCAAATATCTTGTCGAACATGGAGCTGATGTGAATTCTAGAGATTACAGACATTCTACACCACTCCATGAGGCTGCTCAATATGGTAATTGTCTATATGTTTGAAAACTGAAAATATCACACGAGAATGGTATGATCGCTAAAGTAGTGCAAGCTAACTGTTTATATCTGCCTAATATTTCAGACACACTCGAAATAATTGAGTTTTTAATCACTCATGGTGCAAAGGTAAATGCCGAAGATAATCGTAAATGGACGCCACTTCATAACGCCGCTCGATATGGTAATTATTGATTATATAGCCAATATATTGGTTTTGAAAATGGAAATAACATGATCGGATCGCTAACTATTTATCACAAAATTTCAGGCAAATTTGAAAATTTCAAATATTTAGTTGAACATGGAGCAAATATAAATGCTACAACTGACGAAAACCATACAACTCTGTTTATGGCTGTTGCAAGTGGTAATTTTCAATGGATTCATTCAGTAGAAAAGTTGTTTCATGAGAACTTCGTACATTTTACAGGTAACATGCAGATTGTCAGATATCTTGTCGAACACGGAGCTGATGTGAATTCTAGAGACAAAGATAATCACACACCACTTTACTGGGCATCTCGATTTCACCTACCATATGGCAGTAATGTGCGATGAAAATTTTTCAGGGGTGGGGAGTGTTTTCAAAACCAAAAATTTCTCAAGCAAATCAGACAAATTTTCGTTTTTTTTTTTGGAAGTCACTTTTTGAGGCGAAAATCCCTAGCAAGTCGAAAGAATTTTCTCCGCGAAAAATACTAGCAAATCGGAAAAAATTCACTCGGAACCAAAAACCCTAGGAAATTGAAAGAATTCTACTCAATTTTCTACATTGATGGGCTAAAAAAAACAAAAGATCTTCACTTTTAGAATCAAAAACCCTAGCAAATTCGAATAATTTTCGCCAAAAAAAATTTCTCATCCAAATCACAGGGGGGTAACCCCCCACCCCCTTCGCACATTACTGCCATATGGTATTTGTCTATATATTCAAAAATCAGAAATATTAAACATTAACAGCTAAGATAACTGTTTATATTCTCAATATAAATAATCCATAGAGCACTCTTTACTTAGTGCATTTCATTTTCATAATTGTACATTTTAAATGGATAAGATTTAATTAGTGTTTTTCAATTTTTAGGCAAGGAAGAAATAAAACAGTTCTTGATTGATCATGGAGCAGATGCGAAAGACATATAAAATGAAACACCACTTGAAATCGATGCCGGTAATAAATAGTACATTCAATCATGATTCAATAGTACACTCAAATGAATCGTATTTTAAAAGAAATTGTTTAATTACATTTACTAGGGAAATTAAAACCGGAGTTGATGTCGCCTTAAGTCAAATGTTGTAAACTTGTTAAAAGAATCATAGAGTCAACAGAAACTTTCATCTTAAAAATCGAAACAAAATCAAACGCAAACTTAATAACTTATAAATCGAAAGTAAAATAAATCATCAAACTTCAATATACCTTCGAATACCGTATTCGGAAAACGATAGATCGCATAACACTAAAGACAATATTTGAGCGATAGCTTCGAATGAGTTTTTTCATATTTTCATGGACGTATATACAATTCTGGAAACGATTTATGGATTTGAATGTTGAAACTCACATGAATATTCTTAGCACTGCATGAACTACTCATTGTTTTTTTATTAATCTCATAAACAAATATATTTTGACGTCTGAATAAAAAGTATATCCTGACTCTGACCATTCTT